CCAATGTTTCTCATATACCCATAGGGCATAACACAACCCTTATCCAAAATTTCCTTTACTCGAGTCAACCTTGACCTCAACCTATGTAAGCCATAACTGATTCACCGGTATACCTCGAACTGAAACCAATACAACACATAACCGCGCAATCAACCCGTCGATAGCAGACTCCCCCACTTGGCTCAAATCCAAGATATAAAGCATCTGATAACTTACAATGACCACCCCCATACAGGCATAACACCGCAATAGGATCCAACTAAACCCTTCCTAAGCTCACGTAACACAAACCATATAGTTCCTCAAAGTATTTGCAAATCTCACATTTATCCTCGTAACAGCCAAGCCCACTTCCACAAACGATCCAAACTCGAATTGCACTACATATAATTCACTGGTAAAATAGAACTCTCAACAAAACAACATAGGGATCACACAACCTCAGGACATCCCGCAGGAGATAACCCACCTGCTTAGCCTCAAACTGACATCTTTTTATACCTTCCACAATCGTAGCTACTACGCAATCACTTAATCTTCCTGAGTATGAAGTCATATCACGACATGAAAATATACTCCACTCCTCAACTAAACAACATGAAAAGGATCCTTCAATACACCCATAACTCGAGACTATACGTCAAATCAGGATAGAAATCAAGCACCAAATAGTTCTTTCTACACCTCAAGAAAATCCTTCTCATCACATTCAAATCATATGAACACATCTCGCAGTCACATCATACTCATCGCGTAGCCATCCAGCCATAAATTCCACTAATAGGGATACTACCGGACATATAAATCCAAAAGCACGTGCTCACATAATCAACACCTCAGTGCTCAAGCTACAGTCCAAACCCAGCCTCAATTCCTCCAGACTGGCCCATCATCAACACACAGAAATCACATCTTGCACCTCAACCATGGAATCACAAGCCGTCGATGCACAGCTGATACCGAGCGCTCACATGCACATACGAATGCGTGGAAGAAGTTCAAAGAGTTACGCTTCTAGCTGAATCAATGCCGCACGATGAGGAAAGAAAGATGAGAAGTATATCCTAAATGTCTTGTAGCCTCTCGAAGATAGGTATGTACGTCATCATACCGATCCGCAAGACTCTACTAGACACTTGCTCATGACTTGTACCTATGAACCTAGGGCTCTGATACCGATCTGTCAGACCCAAAATCGACTATTCGTGATGGCACCTAACCTAATCTGCTAGACAAGCCAACTAATAACTATCCAATCTCACTAATGTTAATAAGTCAATTAAACATAAATAAATTATTTGGATCTATTACATTTCCCAAGGACTGGTAGTACAAATCATGAGCTTCTAAGAATAGAGTTTACAAAGCTGGTATGAAACAAATACATCTTCTGTTTGAAAAGTACATAAAAAGAGTTTTATAAATCTAAGGTTACCATGAACAAGACGCAGCTACCGCTACCTCTTCCAATTCAGCTCTCATCGAACACAGCGACATTGACATCCAAAATCTGCACGCAATGTGCAGGAAGTGTAATATGAGTACAACCGACCCCATGTACTCAATAAGTAACAAATCTAAACTTAGGTTGAAAGAAGTGACTATTGGGGGCAGCCCTATTTGCTGGAAATCTAAGAAACAGCCCACAATCTCACTGTCATCTGCAGAGGCTGAGTATAGAATTTTAAGGAAGATTGTTGCTGAACTTACTTGGCTTGTGAGACTCTTGGCTGATCCCCCATTCCCCTTCATTGTGATAACAAGTCTGCTATCAGCATTGCCACGAACCCTGTTTCTCATGAGAGAACCAAACATATTGAGCTTGATTGTTATTTTGTTAGGGAAAAGCTTGCTTGTGGCCTGATTTCTTTACAATATGTTCCTACTCAATCTCAACTTGCTGACATTCTCACTAAGCCACTCACCGGTGTTCAACATCAGCATCTTCTCTGCAAGTTGGGTGTTTTGGCACCCTCCAGCTTGAGGGAGATGTTGGAATAGATGGCCCAAACAACTCAGGCCCAACCGACACAGGCCCAGCCGGTTGATAAACTAATAGCCTTGTAAAATTATTTTATAGATAGCCAATTTTTATTACATTGCCATTGCTTATTCTTTGTAGTATAAATAGGTAATGATGGGCTAATTTGTACACTTGAACATTTTATTCATTTGCAATACACAGATATTTCCCAATTTCTGGTGAAACCCAATTTTTCTTCGATTACTCTAAGATTAACAATTACTTCATCGTTTTTACTTCCGTCCATTTATAAAACTTGATAATAAATAGTTTGGTGAGATCAAGGCAGTGAAATAATTACAGCAAACTGATAACATCAATCTAGTACCATCACCATTCGTTTTCTTTGAGAATCCTCCTTTCTCCACAAAAAACTCCCTTGTTAATCCTCGAATTCTGGAATTGGAAGTGAAGCCCGTCCATACTTAATGGCATAAGCAGAAACCATCGATGATATTCTGAGGTCTGTTTACCTCTGTCGCACTTGAGGCGTAAGACATAGCTATACAGAAAATTTATCAACAAATCTTCAACAATACTGAATGAATTTTAGCAACAAAATCCTCAGCGGATTGAAGAAAGAGGAAGGGAAAAAATGCAGAGAACTTACTACGCAAGCGCAGATCAATTGTGAAGCAAAGAAGATACAACAAGTTGGCATATAAATCAGTATTTTGAAGAGAAGTGGAAAAGAGAAATTGAGTAATGAATTTGGGTGAAGAGAACCCATGGGAAAAAACGAAAAAATCGAAAGAAAGAGCCATACAAGACATGTGGTGGTGTAGAAATAATAGGACACATAAGGCAGCATATGGACTAATAGCTGAAAATTTTAAATATGTCCAAACCTTATCTCTTATATATAAACTAGTAAGGATAGCCCGTGCACGGGCCCAATAATTGTATGCTCGGGAGTAGAGCTAGAGTGTTGATTACTGGTTTGATCGAATCATATAATTTTGATACAAATCATGTATTTGGATATGTACAAATATTAGTTTGTATGTTAAATTAAAAAATTAGATATAAACTCCAAATTCTAGCTCTGCCTCCAAATATGGTAGATACTCGATTATAATTTCTTTTTGTTATGGAAAAAACTTCTATTAAAGTCCATCATCAAAGGATCCTAGAGTTAATCTTATATTACTTGAAATCATTTATAAGGAAAGGGTATCATAATTTTGTTGGTCTCTACTATCACGTGAAAATCAAATTGTAAAAGTAGCTTGCTTCGTGATCGAGTTCATTAATTAGCATAAATAAATTTTTTGCCTAACTTATATGTTGTTATTTAAAATGGGCGTGCATAGGTTCTCTGGTAATGATGTTTCCCATTCAAAAAGTATCATTTAATATTTCGACACATGTAATTAAGAAAATTGTTTAATAACATTAATATAGAATTATTTAACTATGTGGTCCTTTGTATCTTCATTTTGAGATTTATAAAATTCTATTTATGAGAAACCAATGGATATGTGCATTCTGTTGTTGACTTTATCAATTCATCCTCTAGTTATAAGAGCCTGAAGGAAATGAGTAAGAGGACAAGCATCTTTAGTTTTTCCTTGTTCAAAACATACAATGAACTCCATAGTAGCTACTTTGTCCTTTTTGGATATTTTGACAATGCAAATTTTAGCATTGAAAAAATAGTTAAAAGTTGTTAGCTCATTAATTAAATTGGAAAACACAAATGAAGCTTAGTTGCTCACGTGGCCAAAGAAAGTAATATAATTTCCAACTGACTACAAATACAACGCCTGAACTAGAGAATTCAAGCAGGTCGCCCTTGTGTTTCTTATGTTATCCTTCGGATAACCTTATGTTGCAACTAATCACAGGATATGACAGATATACTTATCCTCTCCAAAGTTTTTTTTTAAAGTCTTAAACAATAAGGTTAAATTTTGAGTTAAGAGTTTATTAAAAAATTTCTAGTATAAAAGCAAATTAAATACATGTTTGAAATATACGATGATATTTCAGTTTTAGTCTAATAGGATGATGATGACATCTACTAACAAAAATATATTCACTAAACAATCCCGTTATTATTTAATTCCACATTATAATTCAATCAGTATAATTTTCATATAACTATGTGAACAAGCGACTCCTTAGATTACACCTTTTAAAATTGTATGAGCAGCAGTTGAATAAATTATTTATATAGTGCGGTATTTATGTATAATTTAATTTGAAATCATTTTAATGTTAATTGGTCAAGCAATTTATGTGTTTCCCTTGAAATTTCTATCTACAAGTTTAGTTTACTTAATTTTTTTTATAGATTTGTGCTGCATTTTGTGATTCAACGTTACTAGTTAAAATAATAAATACAAAAAATTTGTGAATTCTTCAAACAAAATTAGTTAATTTGTAAAAAATGAGTTGCCCAGCATATCATTTATTTCACTAATAAAATCATTACGTAGTATTTATTACATTAGAGTAGCATGTGAAAAGATTAGTTAGAAATGGAGAGAGTACACATTGGTGTAATAAAAGTAATGGTAATATTTAGAATTTGATTTTTAGAAAGTACTTGCCATCATTATTTTTTATTTGTTTGTAGCTATAATAGGCAAGAGAAGCCTAGAGAGAAGATAGTTCTCTCAGTGTGACCACGTGTCCACTATAAAAAGCAAATAGTGAATGAGATGTGAATGAAAAATTGTGATGGGGTCCACATATTCAAGGTTAAAATGCCTGCACAATAAAAGAAAAGCAAAACAGCTAGAGTAACACCCTACATGGACCTATGAAAATAACGAATTCAGCCTGAAAAAATTCGTGATTTCAAAAATACCCCTCCGCCAGACAGGCATGTTGACGGAGAGCTCCTTGCTTTCCCTCTTATTAGAAGTAATAATAATAATAATAATACTAGTGAGGGTATGCCCGGGCACAACTATTTATTGTTTTTGGTGATAATTTATGCCTTCGAGGGCTATTTGCAACAGGCGAGGGCTATTTGCAACAGGCGAGGGAGTCTCTATGTGTTATAACATCCAGATTAGGGCATAAATGTCTACAATATTTTTAGACAACACAATTGACACGTATCAGATTACAAATGACTCAACTACAATGGGAGATGTTGAACATAAAAATATTTAACATGATTCTCTATTTCCCTCACGCCTCCTCCACAGAACTGATCTCTTTAGCAACCTGAGGTAAGGAAAGATATATATTTTAAGAACAAGTAATTGGGCAAGAGAATAATTTTTTTTAACAGTGGTAACATGTTCAAAGGAAACAGTATAAGTCAAAAATGTGAACATTTTTCTTATTTATAACATAGATGGCAGAGGCAGCACAATAATTATACATCTCATTCAAATAGCCAATAATCTAGTTGGCTTTGTTCATTCTTTAAAAGTGATCTTCCTTTAGCTAAGTTGCTTAGAACAAATATTTTTCCATTTTATCAGAGCCCAATAATAATCTGGGTTTCCAAGTGATACTACATATCCTCCAGATTTTCACAAGGCCAACTTGTGTCTTAAATATTGGTTCCTCTTGCTTTCTTATTCTACTATTCTTTTCTTGTATCTATTGAGTTCAAAGAAGTACTGGTCATGTACCATTCATTCGTTTCTAATAACCTATTCTTAATAAAATGGCTGGCGATACCTCATCTTGGGATGCCTTTGGTTGAGTTCCTATCATCGACGGATAAGCAATTGACAAAACTTCTTTGCCATTCATACTCATTTGTTTGCAAAAATTAATCACCTGAAAAGGCATAAGAAAAGAGTTGAAATTACAACACTTGAATGTAGAATTTAGCGTATGTGTGCATTAGATATTGCAAACTAACTGAATCAAATGATTCTCATGATGAGTCACATTACTGTAGAGTAGCTAAACAACTAACAAGATATTTAAATAAAAAGTGCAGATGAGTCACATTACTGTAAAGTAGCTAAACACCTAATAAGATATTTAAATAACAAGTGCAGAGTTGATAAACAAACAAAAGAAATAATTTTTTTACCAAAGTTATCGGGCCAAGAAATTGACCTGCAATAGTCTTAGAATACTAATATTTTGCAGTTGAAAAAGATATGAACTCTGGTAAATCTCCTCGTGTGTGTGTTCGACAACACCACGTATCTTCTGAAAGCGAACTCATATTTGGCCTCTCAGATGCTTCTTCACCCTTGTTAGATGAGCTTTCCTGCCATTTCATCAAAAGAAGATGATAAAGCTAACGCTCCTTCTGTATATCGAAGAGTAAGCTTGCGAAATTCAGTTTATTTTGCAGCATTGTAGCCTAAATGCAATTTTACTCTGTGGCTTATAGGCCAATCAAATGTAAAAATCACTACCAAAATTAAGAGTTTGCAAAATTGAATGTCAAAGGAGCAACTTAAGTGTGGAATGCATAGCTTTTAGGCATCTCTTCAGTCAAACAGGATAAGCTTAATGATATTTCATTTTGAGGCAGAACTTGATCGCGATGTTATCTATCAGTGCTAAAAGAAGTCAGTTTTTGCGTGACAAAGTTGCTTAACAGGTTATGTTTCTAATTGTTATATTGATGTTTTCACTTTTAGTAATGCACTAATCCTGCAGTTATCACAATGCAGCTCAAAAATATTTAACCTATTATTAGACCCTTTCCTTTTTCAGAGCAGATGTAAATACCCTACCCCATACCATTTGAGATAAATTACAATAGAAAACCGCAGAACAATTGAAACAAGTCTTGCAAAAATAATATGAAGACGTGTTTGTTATTATAATACAATTAAAAAATATTTAAAATCCTTGCCTTTTTCTCAAATCTTGCTTGAGATGACATAAATAAAAAGGTAATTTACCTCATCCAGGTTTTTCAACTTATCTTTCTATGTGGTCTTCCCAGCCTTGTAAGTCAAGAAACAGTCGGCTCGCAGGGTCTGCTTCCGTCATCATTACGGATGGCTTCATTGGACAAAGGCAGAAAGAAACGAAGATAGATTTAGGATTACAAATGATGACTCTTTTATATTATTTGCTTATCCAGTAATTTAGGTGCACAAATTAATTTTCTTTCTTTATCTATCAAATAACAAAAGAATAGAGAACAACTAAAACTTCCTTCTCTGCTAAGAAGATGACCTCTCATTCTTAAACCATTATATCATAAATACAGCATTCAGACAAGTAATCAGTTCAATATAAAATACAGTAGTGAATTAAAGTTCTACAGAAAAACAGTTCCTTGTACCAAAAAGAATACAACATAGTCTAAGGTCAAGCCTAATGGTTATGCGGGTAATTCGTATTTTAAGTGTATATATTGGTCTATTTCTCTTGCGTACACCAGAATTTTAGCCTTCATTGTTGTTTAAATGCTTGACCTGAAGGCTTGAAATAAAGAGACACTCACACATCAGAAGATTAAAATATTTGTGGCAGGCACAGTGCAAAGCCTTAAAAGTAAAGAACGCAAATTGTAGAGTTACTTTTTCACTTCTACATCTTCTGCACTTTTTCTTTTTTATAAATAAGTCAAAAGTTTGCTTCCTTCCCGGATTCACCTTTAACCAAAAAAAGAAATAACGTGCATGTTAACCTTTTTCCAAAAATGCAGTCTAATCTTAAAGTCAAGTCTTGATCTGTAGACCGTGGTTATGGATGACCTAGATATGCTCTCCTCTCGGAAAAAGAAATATTATATCCAACATAAACCACACTTCAGTTTACATAACAGAACAAAATTACAATTATGATTTACTGGTTTCGATATACAATTCACATGTCACCAATTGCTCTACTTTAAGGGCTTTCTATTATTTCATGAAAAATATTTTTTAGAAAAATTCATAGCAGACATTATGATAATAAAAATTGTTATTCTAATAAAAGCAGATAGACACATAGAAAAGTTAGTTAATAGGAAGATTGTCGATATAGCAAAGCAAAACTACAAAAATACCTGGGTATTATGTTCAACACAATGTGCGTCAAGAGTTTCACATCACCAATCATGAAAGCACTGAACAGATCAAACAACAGTCAAACTTGTAGACACTCTCACCCCCTGTCCTAAAAGATGCAACACACATACACATAACATTGAATTCTTGTACAAACAAAAATTCCTCATAAATAATTGCACATTATGGAACCAACTTCATTTCATGCCCCGTAATGGGAATCATACGCTATTAAGCCCAATCGAGAATAACTTTTTGCAGGAGATTTTCCTTTTTCCTCACAACTTTAAAGAAAATAATAAATTTGAGCAAAAACTGGAAATGCATGCCTTCCTGTACTTGCAAATTGGCTTTGTTTCTGCCAAGGGAGGGAATAATCTGGAACAGTGTGTGTACAATAAACCTACATATAAGCATAATGGAAAAGGAAATTTGGTCCAGTACATTTTAAATTTATCATGCATTCCATGAAATGATTCAAAATCCAACCACATGCAGATATATGTGAAACGGCTATTCATACTGTTGATATACCTACTGATGCTAAAAAAAAAAAAAAAAATTGACTGCAATTTATTGTTTATGGAGGTCTATGTCATTCATCTTAATATTAGTGTTTTTTTAGACCTAATACTAAAATATTGAAGATCAACTTAAGCCAAATGGAAGAGCGAACGAAGCATACAAAAAATGCACCAACAGTTCTTCTTGAGGCTAGCACACAATATTTAAGACCAGATTATGGGGTTTTCTATTTGTATATAACAATATAAGGCTTAAGACATGAGATAATCTGAAATTTTGTCTCAACTCTAAATACAACAGTGAAGAGATCATTAAGCAAGGATGAGCTGAGATCAATAATGTGCCACAGGTTTAGTAGCGAGGATCGGTACAGATGTTGGTAGGATCTAAAGGTTATACCTGGTATGAGCTAAAGGATAATACTTGGTAGGAGCTAAAGGTTCAACCCTCCACAAGTAAAAATCATACAAAGAGAAGGTAGAAATACAAATTCAGTCAACCAATTAGCAAATTAAAAAGGAATCTCGAGCTTCAAAGATGAGGCCTCCAAACAAAATGAGCATAATAATAATATTGCCATCTTAACCACATATTTACCTTCACAACAACATTTAGAAAAGTTGCATCTTCAATGATATCAATTTCTACCTAGGAAAGAAAGCAACTTGTATAGAGTGGTGTATATCAGTAGCAAGAATCATTAACTAAAAGTTTATATAGAATGAGCACATCTGCGAAAGATTTCATATGGAGTTGAGGAACCATTAGAGCTAATAGCTGTGAGTAATAGGTAATATCAATGCAAAAGTTACTTGCTTTACATCAAATTGTACATCCGCCAACAGTGCATAGAACTGTAAGTGCGGATACTCTAATTGCTTCAGGTGGTTTGCTATTTAACTGCAAGTCACAAAAGAACATGCTTTAGATTTGAGGCAGATTGCTGAATAGATGGAGTTTAGAGCTCAATATTTGTAAGGCACATCTGAATAAATAAAACTTTAAGCTTGAGCTATCCTTTGTTGACTCGTCTGAATAAATGTTATGCAACTTACACTTTCCAGTAGCAGCCACTGACTTGGAAACAGGGTCAACGACATTTTGAAAAGTGATATACCAGCAACCTTGGCTCAAAGGAAGAGAAGTAGATGGTTAAATCTTGAAATTATTAGTCGGTCTTCTTGATCATCTAAGTTTTCTATATGGCGTGTGTGATTGATGCCCTTTTTATTATCTCTACCCTATAGCAATATTGTTCTGTGATAACTAACTCAGACAAAAAAAACATATGGCATTCAAATTCCCTATTACTAATTCACCTGTAAATGCCTCATAAGACAACCCTTTTTCTACCCAAAAAATGAACCTTTTAATGTTTACTACAGTACATAACATCACCTCTGTTTTCACCACTTGAATAAAATGTTCAATCTGCAAACTACAGGTCAAGAAAACAAAAGTCGAGAGGTTTTTTGGCATACTTGTATCTCTTTATGATCACACCAGATGAGTAACACTTATCCCGTTCTATTTCAATATTCTACAAACTTATAAAAGTTTCAGTAAATTAAAGAAGTTCAAAAATAAAAATATTCAAACACTTCTAAAAACAAACACTAATTTTCCCAGTCAACCCCTTCTCCTTTATGACCTCATTTTTATGTGTCTTTTTCTCAAGAGAAAATTAGTGTTAACACTTCCATTTGTTTAAAGGACTTTTTGTCAGGAAAGTTAACTGGAGTGAACAACTGAACATAGTGGGATGACATTGATCAAATTAGACTAAAATAGGCATCGATTGTGTTGCTTACCATCTGCCAGTTCTCTAATCACTGAATTTCATCCTATAAAAATCACGTCTACTCTGCACGCTCCTTCTTTATGAATTTGCTTCACCAACTCTACTCTTTTCATGGTGTGATTATTAGGGGATTAAAAGGCAGCAATAGAACTCTTAAACAATGGACCAACAATTTACCCGATTCAAATAATGCCTACCCAGCAGCGATTTTGAAAATCAGAAAAAGAAGAAAGTAAAACTTACCTTATAACTGTACAACCAAGCACATAGACTGAGCAGGAAGATAGAAGATTGAAAGAGACAAAGGAAACTGGAACTGAAATTGAGCGACTATGAAAATTTGGAGAAAGATCAGTGTAGAAGGCTGGGCAACGTGGAGGAAGAATAGTATGGACCATGGGCGTTCAGCTTGAGGGCCTGTCAAAACCTGGGGAAACCGGGTTACCACGTGGCTCAGGCCAAAACAGATGCAGTTTTCCTAAAATACCCCTACGACCCCAAGCTGCTCAAACTGTCCCTTATTAATAGTAGGAATATATAATATAAAAGAACTGGATTACCCTTGATTTTAAATCTATTGGCATGAAGTAAACATATCGAAACCTTCTCTCTTCTATATTAAAAATTAAAAATTAAAAAAAATTAAGAAAGAGTGGTGGTTTCGACATGTTTGTTTTTAGTCAATAAATTTTTGGTTGAGGACATAATGGACTTTTGATTGCTTATACGTGTCTGTCTTCCTGGAACACAACAGCCACGTAGCATCACTTTCTCATGTTGCTTTTTATCCTAACATCTTTTACATTATGTTCGTTGTCGTAGCTTTCTAGCTCGAGTAATTTTCTCTCTTCAGCTCTTTCATCACGTATTTTTTTGTAAATACTGATGATTTTATTCACATGTGTCTGCACAATCAATAGGGACAAATTCGAGTCTTTCCACATACGTGGTACGGTTCAGGTTATCTTCTTCAATTTGATACCCGATGTATTTTTTCTTGAGTTACCCAATTTCTCACCATGTTCTTTGATCCGGAGAGGATTCCGCTTCTAAAAAGCCTTGAGAATTATTGAAGATTTTTGATAAATTATTCTATTTACCTACCTCTAGGGACGACCCAGATGGGAAAGAGGTTAGGAGACACTAGAGACGATTCTAAGTGGTATCTGTTTATGCCTTTGATATTGTTGTATACGGTCAAAATCAGGGAGCCCGATTTCGAGCTCTTAAATTGAGCTATGAGTCCGAGTTGGCAACTCGAAATGGAGGTCGGACCCGGCTGAAGGCGTGAACACCTAATTTTTTACCACACTCAAATTCTATTTTATTTTAATGCAAACATTTCTTTTAGGTCTAATTTTAATATTTTAAACTTTTGTTTATTTAAAAGAAAAAAAACTAACTAAAAAAAAATTACTTACATTTTTAGAATATAAAGTTTATTTCTAAAAAAAAAAGATTAAAAAATATATATGTACATATATATAAATGGTTTCTTTTAATTAGAATTTCAATAAGTGAACTATAGAATCTTTCTTAGTATCATTTAAATTACATGTACATATATAATTTTTTTATAATAAAATAAAAATATTGGTTAATTTTCTTATCTTCATAATTTAATAAACTACAAAAAAAAATGAAAAAAAAAAAGGAAACTACAAAAACTAACATAAGTTAACTAACGAAAAGCAAAACAAAAAGAAAAATAATATAACAAAAAAAAAAAGGATAAATCTTGAAAGATTCAAAAAGTTATCCTAACTATTCACCATGATCTCCTCAACTCTCTCCCCCATACTCTCACTCCAACTCCAACTCTAACTCCTTTGCACATGATCACATATCACCCACGTTCTCTTTATAAAAGGGATATATATCACAAAGAAAAAAAAGGGAGAAAAAAACGGACCGAGAGAAAGAAAAAGAGAAGGGATTTGAAGAAGATCCAAGAAGAATTTATTTTTTAAAAGGAAGAGGTTCTACATCTCTATTTTGAATAAAAAAAATTTCTCAAGCAAAAGATATGGGGTTCGAGTAGAGGTTAAGTTCGAGATTTGGGTTCCAATTTTCCTTAGAGGTTTCGGCTCTGGCCGTAGTTTTATCTCCATTCATTGTTGTCATTTCGCTTGGGATTAAAGAGTTGCAACCATATATCGGTTTCCTACTATATTCTTAAAGAAGTTTCATTCCACAGGTGTTCTTCTAATCATTCTTTTATATATTTTAATGTGTCCTACTGTGAATATGAACTTGAGCCATTTAAAGGATTTTATGTAGTTTCAGTTCTTTAGTATTTGAATTTTTGAATATTATTTAGATGTTAGCGTGTTATAATATTTTGGCTCAATTATCTTCTATTTATTCAACATCACCTTTTGTCTTTAACGTTAAGGTATATGAAAATTTAGTGTCCTTTTTTTTAGACTTCGAATCTTAAAGAAATTTAATTTGTCTAACTCTATGTTGATGAAAATCTAATAACTTAGTACATTAATCTTTGGCCCTAGTAAAGATTGTTTAATAAAAATGAGAATATTATCCCTACGGTTCTGTTTGGTTTAATTATTTTTTTTTTAGAAGTTAAAATGGTCCTTTTGTTAGATCCGTGAAGTATTTTCTAAGAAGAATGTTCACAATAGGCTCGTTTATTTATTTAACATTGGTAAAAGAAAACAAAAAAACAAAAATATTCAAAGGTCTCCATTAGTCCTTAAAAGACGGTCAATTTTGCATCATAAAAGAATTGATTTACCTTCCATGTAGAAATTCATGTAATTTTGCATATGATTTTTTTTGTTTTTCTTTGTGCAAATTCCAAGCATTAATAAAGACGTACTTTGAATATTAGCCCATGTGTTCATACCCGAACTTTGGATTAATATGCTTAAATAATAAAAGGATCATGTGCGCATTCCGCGTCTCGATGTCTTTTAGATTTAAAATAATTATGTTATAACCATGTGTGCATTCCGTATCTTGGTTTAACATATAATTTCAAAGAAGTACCTTGTGTGCATCCCGCATCTTGGCGAACACAAATAAAAAATATATAATACTTAATTAAGCGATAATAGACAATCCATAATCAATAAAATACAAGAATAGTCAAGAATTGATTTAAGCCGAACATTAGTCAATAAAAGCGACCGTGATAGAGCCACGGGACTCGAGGGATGCGTTCGCGCAACTTCAACCAAACTTTCTTAATAAATCAACAAAAGCGTTATTAATCGTGGACACGTTCGCGTGACATGATTTTGACGCGCCAAAAGAAAAGAGTATACGTACTCAATTCTTTAATTACGAATAATTCAAGCAACTAAAAGCGGTAAAAAGGGTAAATGCACATAGGTTTAAAAATACGTAATTAAATAATTTAAGCCAAGAATAAATTTTTAAGCGACCGTGCTAAATCCATGGAACTCGGGAGTGCCTAACACCTTCTCCTGGGTTAACAGAATTCCTTACTCGGTCTTCTGTGTTTCGCAGACTTAATCAGAGTCAATTTCCTTGAATTGGGATTTTAAAATAAATGGTGACTTGGGACACCAAAACTCAATTCCAAGTGGCGACTCTTTGAATTAAAATAAATTAATCCCTTTTCAAATAATGTCACTTAAATTGGAAAAAACTCCTTTTCTTTCCTATTATCCCTCGGAAAAAAAGGAGGTGTGACAGCTATGGCGACTCTGCTGGCGAAGATAACCCAAAACTTCTGTTCGGGGTTTAGAATTCGAGCTTGTAATGTGATCTATACTTGGCTTTATTAATTTGATGTTATTACAGTATTTTTGGGCCTAATGTGCTAATTGCCGCTTATTTACCGCTTTGATATTATTTGAATTGTATTAAACTGTCTTCTTACGCCTCCCTTCTGAGTCTTCTGAATTTATGGTGCACACGTGCGCGTGACCCACTTTTCTGTTAGAAGTCATACCAATTAGAACGAGGCTGGGTCAAGTAACTAGGCCGGGTAGACTTACGTGCTCCCGGTACGTTGCCCCCACCTCGGCTCGAGCTGTCCGCTTGGGTAAGCCAGGTCTAAAACACTCCCCCCAGGATTTAAACCTAGAATAACATAGCCTCATGTCGGACCCTTAGTAGGAACGTTTGTTTGCATCATGTGCATTTGACTTTGGGGACTCAATACAGGGGTTGGGTCCGTCTAGGACAGGTGTACTCGAGAATTGTAAGACCATCCTGTTGCATCTTATGTGCTACTTGTGCATTATGTTTGATTCGGCTTGTGCATGTTGACCGGCTTCTAAAAAATAATAAAATAAAATAAAAATATAAAAATTGAGGGAAAACCAGAAGGGAGGAAATTTTACCCGGTGTCTGAAAAATCTCAGTATTTACCCCAAAAAGATTATTACAAAATAAGCCTAAATTTTTTCAAAAAAATGTCATCCTATTTTTGAAACATATACAGAACTACGCGGGTCTGATTCTCACCGGATGTGAGATACGTAGGCAAACCTCATCGGTTCCGGCCCTCAATTTTCAAAAATTCAAAATTATTTTTCTTTAATTCCTTCTGTAGAAGTTTTTCTTTGAGACATCAAATTTAAAAATCTAAAAATATTTTTTTTCTTATTTAGAAGTCCTTATTAAAAAAAAAAGTTCAAAACCCAAAAATATTTTCTTATTTTTAGAAGTTCTGATAGTCTGAATTCACATAAGAAAAAGAAAAAGAAAAAGAAAAAAAAATTAGTTTAGTTTACTTGAGTTCTTGATCTCCCCGAACTACGCAAGATCTGATTCATGTCTCCACATGATACGTAGGCAACCCACATCAGGTTCGATCGAATCATTTTGAAAAAAAAAAGAAGAAAAAACAAGCAAAAAAAGTGGAAAAAAAAAGTGGTTAAAAAAAAGAAGAGAGAGTATTTATTCTAACATGCTTGTTGTTTTGAAATAAAAGCTAGTTAAAGGTGGTCGATTTGTTGGTTTGCAATGGTGAGTCACGCAAACAATCCAAGATCCCTCGGAAGTAAAAGCATCTTCTCAACAAATGGAACAAGCACCACTATTGTTGATCCAAGGTCACGAAAAAGCAAGTAGGCAAATTGGCAGTGAAAAATAAAAAAAATAAAGACAAATGTGGGATTGACTTTACCAGATTTGAGCAATAGAACATGGCCTGCTCGGGATGATTTAATGATGAGGAATGTGATCTAGGATTGAAAGCCATAGTAGCCATTGCCGGGGCAGAAGAGAAACAAAAAATGGGC